GTGGGGGGAACCACGCTGATCTGGGCTCCGGTGTCCACCAGGAAGCGCCTGCGAGTCACATTGTCGCAGACATAAAAGGTGCGACCAGAGCTGGGAGAGCCAGAGAAAACGGTCGCGTCTATTCTCTGGCTGGTTGGTTTCCCTGTTTCGGTTTAAAGGAACAAGGGGAAGAACATTTGCGAGCCTTGGCGGCAAAGTTTGCGTGATACCAACACAAATTGGCTGTGCGAGGTCGCGAACGTGAACGATGACGGCTGGGTGAGCGACTACATGTAATGCGAGCAAGTTGTACTTTTAGGGAGGCTATCTCATTTGCCATAGTCGACATCTGTTGCAGTAACTGCTCGTTAACCGTTGAAGAGGATGTGGAAATCTGAGCAACGGAAGGTGGTTGGAACCGTTGAACCTCTATCATTCGGTCTGCCATTTCAGCAAGATGTGAAAGTGTAAGGTCTTGCGAGCCGGATGCCAAAATCGTTTGGACATCTGCAGGCAGCCTCTCTAGAAACATCTCTTTAACGAGTTTCTCATCGACCTGCATGTCTCCTAAGAGAGTACGCATTCGTCGGAGAAGTTCTGAGGGCTTTCGGTCGCCCAGTGATTCCTCCTTTATCAACTGGTGGTAGCGTTGTCGGTCAGATACAGCATTGAGACGAAGGATTTCCGCCTTCAGAGCAGAATAGGGAGCGTCTGCAGGGGGTTTCACTAATAAGGGTTGAACTTGTGAGATAATATTGGCAGGGAGAACCTCCACAAGTTTGTGGTATTTTGCTACCTCCTTGGTAACGTTGGCAGAATAAAAGGCTGATTCTATGCGGATGAAGTAAAGTTCTGGAGCGTGTTGCCAGAATTCAGGCAAGGTTAAATTGATTGCATGAAGGGACTGGGCGGGGGCATCAAGTTGTTGATCGGCGTGAGACATAATATCAGAATTCGTGAGGAAAATAAATGTTAATGGAATAGATATTCGCAAGCAAATAGTACGTTAAATGTTATCCAGTATGACAGAAAGGTATAAAGTCTGCGTAAACGTCGGGAGTCACCAATGTTGTAAATTGTAATGTTCCCACGAACTAACGAGTTATATCTCACGAGCCCCTAGCCTTAAATGCAGCAAGTAAATCGGAGCAGTGAATAATATAGAGGTTTTTGAACGTTAAGAAAACTGACAATAGAATACCACAGCAGAGCACGCTAGCTAGGCGGGTTGAGCAGGTGTGTCGTTTTCCGTCACATTCAAACAAGCAATGCGGTCAAAGAAAAAGGGACCAAGTTGTCAAAGGTCAATTAGTCAGGTACCTCACCACACCCTTATCGCACTTTTGACTGCCCTTTGACCCTGTGATGATGGTTTCAACGAGGAGGTCATTAGAACGCCCAGGTCTTGCTGTTCCACAACATTAGGTAGGGGCTTCCCACCAAGGACGTATTGAAAGGAATCGTCCTCCTTACTGATCCTCCTGGTGCGGAGTCTCGGGACCACACATTTGTCCACATTAAAATTAAGGAGCCAACGAGCTGACCAACTGTTCAGGCGGTTGAGGCTGTCTTGAAGCGCGTACCTGTCTGCGCCAGTTCTGATGACTCTCCACAGGTTAACATTGTCAGCAAACATGATGGCGGTGCATCCCAGGTCGTCGACGCAGTCGTTAATGGAAACCAGGAATAGCAACGGCCCTAAGACAGAGCCCTCGGGTACGCCGTTTAGAACGGAGGTAGGAGTTGAACTTGAGGCCTCAACGCACACGCTTTGTAGACTTCCAGTAAGAAAATCTGTTATCCATATCAACAGCCTTCGTCTTATACCTATTTCAGAAAGTTTGTAGATAGGTGTTTGTGTCGGACGCTGTCGAGAACCTTCTTTAATATCACAAGACCTGGGGATCGAATTGGGACCAGTGTGTTAATAACAAATTGCTTCACCGTGTTAGCTCATTGTTTAGGAGTGAAATAGGCCTTGTGTCCGTGTTGCACTTCATTAAATAATTCTTATGGATGTTCATGGAGACTTCTTCACCCCGCGTTTTGAAATGCTTGTGTGACCACCCTTCAAATACGCCATGACCGCTCGGCCGTTGTTTCCTACACCCTTTACCGTTCTGCCCTAAACGTGATGGAATCAACGACGGTTAAATTTGATGTAAATTAGTTAAAAATAATGGTAGGTTTGCGTTGCGTCCATCCAACTCTCTCCATCTCACCTAACTGTGTGTGGTAGCATGAAAAAGTCAAGAGGTCCGGAGGCGTGAATTTGTGCCTAGGCGTTCTACCATCCCCTTGGACCACTCATGGACAGCTAGAATTTCAAACGACTAGAAAGAGGGCGGCACGGATCCAAGACGAATGGGAGTGCCATGAAGGTCAAATGAAGAAGGATCCGTTTCAACCTGACACAACATCCCGTGCGGAGGTGTGCTCTGGGATCGGCATCGTCTACAGCGGCAAGGTTCAAAACGCCGAACGAGTGCAAGCGTGCACATTGACTCCGACAATTACCATCCGACATTCATAAAACGTGATAAGGTTAGATGAGGCTTACGCGCTACTTATACCGCTTTTAGTGGGCTGTAAAGTATGCGGCCAAAACGGAATTTTCGATCTCCAGCAGATCTTTGGGTTTGTGTGCGTTCCAGGCATGCCACATCTGCAATATTTCAGTGCTTCACTTTTCACTTTGCCACTTATTTCTCGAAAGGCTGAACTTCTAAATTCGGTGTGAGGTTTTCTTTCCCGTGATATATTTGTCCTCTCGGCCTGCATCTTGTAAGTCAGAGTACATAATTTGACAAGCACATCCGGTCATCACCCCTTCTAAACTTGTAATAAGTGTGTTCTTCCCAGGCGACAGGCAGATGCGGCGGTCCGCAGTATACCTATTTGTTTGGATTTTATCATTAAATAAAGTACGAGAGCAAATGCATTGATGCCAATAAGGACTGGTTAGCATAACCAGTTTGAAAACTTACGAGTAACAATTTTTCCGATGAGTTTTCTCCTTTTTAGACACATATGTATACATAATGATAGAAGGGGGCTCAGTAACCGCATTACGAAAATCACTCACCCCTTATACGTGATCGTCTTTAGTATGGGAATAAGGCGACATAGAACGGAAACGTATAGTAGCATTTTATTGAATTTCTTGTCTGTTTGAATCTAGAAGAAATTATATGCCTACCCGTTCTATGAATGCCATAATGTCATTAAGCATGCCCGGCTAATTGCAAATCCTGCTACCCGGGAGAGGGCCCGCTCCCGACCTCTTTCTCATAATGTCAGCGGTGATTCGAAAAGCATTTTGTCCTGGGCATTAAATAGCGTCCATCTTCAACAGATCTTATGAACTGGTTCCATACTTGACTTCGGTCTATTCGATTGTTCCCTGCTATAGTAACTGGTTGCAATCACTTCCGCCTTGCATGCTGCTATATCAGATCATTGTGTGAATTTTCGCATAACACTTCACAATTCTCTGAAGACGCATATTGTGACATTCATTTTTCGTTAACTTCCTTTTTTAGTAAGGATGCGGCGAAAGCGCTGCCCGTCATTCCTCTCCCATAAGCAGAGGATCGCATTATCGTTTTCCCACTTTGTCAGTGATATTTATCAACCAATTGCGAAACCAGCATCCACGACCAAACGAAGGAAAAAGGATATAGACCCAAAGCGAGAGTTATATGCCCTCTATGAACATTCAGTATCCCTGGCAATGCAGCCACCACCAGCATCATCCTTTTGTCTGCATTCCATATCCGTTCCCCTATCCTCAGTATTTTTAGATTTTTTTGCTCGAGCACGCAGGGTAGACATATTTTTCAACGAGTCCTCCTTCACACTATGTTTTGAAGACAGAAACTCTCCACATAAGCGTTCCCTTATCGACGCAGATCTATCGGAAGCAGCCTTCCTCCTATATGCTGCATCAGCCTCATGCTTCCTTCTCTTCGCTTCCGTCGAAGTCTCTTCTTTGCGAATTGACGTGACCGTGAAGGAAAACCAGATATTTTCTACCACGGATTTTATACAAAGCCCACTGAGTCCTACGCAGTTTGATAAAGTCTCTGCTTGTGTCGCACTCCAGGAGTTGGCATCTCAGTGGTCCCCCGACTATCTTCGTGTTCCCCTTTACGTCCATGACATGGAAACGCAGGAGGAGTTTGTTAGGTCCCTGAAAGTGGCGTACTCCTGTATTCACCGTAGTCATTCTTCAATATGTGGCGCAAGAGATCGACTTCCCCAGCCAAAACAGGTGAAGATAAGGCTACTAGACTATCAACTGGATGCTATTCGATGGATGCTACTCCGCGAGGCTGGCATTAGCAGCCCAGTTAACGCTGACTGGATAAAATCCTTTTTTATCCCTGTAACGGCGACCAATGCTGAAGGCGGTCCGGTGTATTTCTCCACGTTGACTGGACAGTGAGTCGATGCGTTTTTCGTCATATATAGAATTGTTTTGAACGCGGTCACTTTTGTGGATTTTTCCATTGTTTGGCTAACGATGGACTCATGCTAAATCTCTTTCTCGCCCTTTAGTAGCTCTCTTTTGGTAAAAGGGTTTGCCGTGGGCTCCCATAGGATGTTGCGCGTCTCTTCTTTTCTCTTCACCCCTCCCATTCCAGTTGTCGTCTGATTGCAGATATTTTGCCATGATATTTACTGTGTTCTTCTGCTAGCTGAATACTGTTTGGCCTCCATTTTACCGCCATCACATACAAGTCCGAAGCACTTTGGACAGTCGTAGT